TTTCGCTTCTTCTTCTCTTCCTTCTTCTTCTTCTTCTTCTTCTTCTTCTTCTTCTTCTTCTTCTTCTTCTTCTTCTTCTTCTTCTTCTTCTTCCATTCTATCACTGTTGTCGTCCTCCTGCTCCTCTTCCATTCTATCACTGTTGTCGTCCTCCTGCTCCGCCGCCTCCTCTTCCTCTGTTCTGTGATGCACAAACCTCATATGTCCAGCACTGCTTTCTGATTGGAGATTTGTGCAAGGGCACACAGCACTTTGAAGGGGTTTTGACAACCATTTTAGGAAAATGGGTTGAAGATCGATGTCGGAACTGGAATCTTTGCAAACGTGCTTCCCGAAAATGCGTGCCAAGAGGCCAATCAGCAAAACAACTGATTGTCTAGGCCAAGGAGAAGACAGTCCACCTGCGGAAAAGTGAGCCGTCTATAGCAGGGGCACAACCCAACTGGGATGCTGTCAATGAGGCTGTAATTTATTTCAGCATGGCAAAAGATGCCGCAGCCAATCAAGCTCACGATCCACGGCTGTGGCCTTCCTTCTGAATCCTTTGCTCATCAAAGAGCGAAGCATTGGAGGAAGAGCGGCTTGATTAGGTGCATGTCTTGTCATTTCTTTGCTGGCAAAGGTTATACCGGGCAAGCACCTTTTTTTACTTTTTTCTTTTTTCTTTTTTCTTTTTTCTTTCAGAAAACTGGTGCCGCCAGTTCCCAAGGCTCACATTAGACAGTCAGATACGTAATATTTCTCACGCCAATTCTCATTAAGGCTGGAAGAGACGCTGACCACGGAAAGCGTCATTTCTGGCCCAATGTAAAGGAAAAAACCCTTTGCTAACATGACCCTACGGTCCATACCCAAGCAAAGGGGGGTCGTTTCTGCCCACAAAGAAAAGACCCTTGCTCACAGGATCGCTACACAAGCAAAAGGGGGTCTTTTCTGCCCACTATCATCAGTATGACCTTTCATGGAAGGAAAAGACCCTTGCTCGTGCAATGAACCTCTTCATAACAAAAGTCATGGAGATGAGTTTGTGCTCCGATCCCCGCTGCAGTTGGCCGGGAGATGACTGTAAGCTCGATGCTCATCGAAAGGCAGAAAACGAGATTAAGGAGGAAAAACCATTCTAAAAGTGGAAAGTTGCATCCATGTGGGGACAACCAAGGTGGCCTCAAGATGCACTGTTCAATGCAAGACCTAGGCGTTCCCCGAAAACATGGAGGCTTTAGCAAAGACACCATACAGTAGACACAGGGTACTAGAACAACAAGCAAAGGACACAACGCGCTAATGACAGACCGGCAAAGTGTTTCGTCAGATTCTCACGAACTCATCAGGAGGCTGAGCCCTCAACAGTCTGCAGAGTGGATGACCATATGTCGGCACTTGTTGCGAGTGGATGACCAGGTAGGTGAAACTGCATGCAGCCCGGCAGGCAAGCAGCAAAGTCGAGTAGCAAGGAAGGAAGAAGGCAAGCGGGCGCGTGGCAAGGCAACACAAGGCAAGTGGATACTAGGCAGCCCAGCAGTGGGCCAACAGGTGGGTGGGTGGGTGGGCGGGCTGGTGGCGGGCAGGCAGGCAACAGGGCAGGCGGCAAGGCAGCAAGGCAGGTGAGCAGAAGCAGACTACAAAGGCAAAGACTCCCACACGCGGGGGAATGCGTGGATGAGTGCATACATCAGACAGTCGTGGGCAAATTAGCAGAGTGGGAAGGCAATACAAGGAAAGCATGCAATAACTCAGTTCAAATCATGCATTCGTCGTGGGCTGTGGGTTGTCGTTTTGGTCGAAGGGCCGAAATAGGGTTCAAATCCCACACCCAAGTCATGTAAACTGCCTGAGCGAAGGCCTGCTCATGTGGGTTACCCGAAGCGAGGCCTAAAACTGGCCTTCAGAGGCCCAAAGTGCGACAGTTGAGCATGGAAAGTCAAAGGTCAACAGCAGCTCGGAAATTCAGGCCCACGAGTCAAAGTCAACATGGACCTAGTCCGGGTCGCCGATCAGACACACACCTTTGCCTGTTTGCATGTATCTGTCAAGAATCAAGTCCAAGTGGGAATCTGCAACTGTATGGGATCCAGGCCATTGGCTGCGAGACAATATGGGCCATCGTGAAAGGGTTTCACCCAGTTCGTGCAACAATTGCAGATACCGGGGCTTGATCCCAAGACGTTCCCCAACCTTTTTTTTTTTTTTTTTTTTTTTTTTTTGCAAAGGACAAGCTCCATCTATTGGTGGGGAGCAGCACCTGCTGGAAACCGGGTCCAGCGTCCCATAGATACAACCATTTCGTCGCTGATTGATACAAAGCTGGGAACCGGTCCCAGCGTCCCATCACGAGTACATTCAGGAATCCCATCAAAAACTTGCCTGAAAAGGAACCAAGAATTACTTGAGAAATCTAATTGGAGCTACGTTTTTTGATTTGAAATGAGACTTCCACTTTCCATCTCCCTTCGACGATCCGACCGCCTCCACCACATAGTTCGAAGGAGAGAGAAGAAAGTAATCAGTCCAGGAACAAGTTCTGAACATATCTGAGAAGAAATAGCTTCCTGCCTGCTATGCCTAGCAACCCCCTACTCTTCCTCGTCTCCCGACGAGCCGACCTCCTCCACCACATAGTTCAGAAGATAAGAAACAGCAGACAATCAACCTCCCAAAGCCCATATGGTTAGGAATGGACTTCAATTTTCCATCTCCCTTCGACGAGCCGACCTCCTCCAGCACATAGTTCGAAGAGAGAAAAGATAATTAGAGTCCAATCAAAGACTTGCGAAAATGTCATCAGATCTTTTTTGGCGACGCCGTGAAAAGGATACGCTTCCATTGGTCACAGCTCGGACCAATCCATACCCACTATACCCTGTCTCATGCTGCCTCCACCGAGGAAAATCCCTCGGCCCCAACATAGAACAGATCCCCTCCCCTCCCTCCACCGCATCCGSAAMKGCARCCAATCCCCTCCTAGAGGCTGCCTTTGCCCACCCCTTGTCCCTGTCTGCCCCCGCTGGGGTTGAAGGCGACCAACTCTCCAACCCCGGCCCCAGACTCAGACAATCCCCAATCTGCCCCACTCCCAATAGGGCGACTGCCTCCCACCATGCAACACCCCTGTAGAATAAGGCTCCCCTATAACAGACCCCAGGGTTAATTTTCGGGGACAACTAACTAGTASTCTGTACCCACCCCTGGCCAGCCCTATCTCTCCTTCCCCTAGCTTACCCAAGGCCAGGCGGAGCCCAGGCTGACAGTCCTACCGTCCTTCCCCTGGCTTGTCCCCTAACTTAGCCAGGCGGATCTCAGACCTGTTGTGGGTAACTACCGTATATCTGTACCCTGGAGTCTCAAAAACCCCCTACCCACCAAAGTTCCAGCCATAACCTCCGAAGTCCTGTCCCCACTAAAGCG